CATATAAATATGACAAGTTTGTGCAAGGTAAAATGATTATTAGTCTGTCTTAATATTTTTAATTTTCTGTACCAACTAGCTTCATTGACATAAACATACGAGTGACCATTTGAAAGCTCTCTAATTGAGGAGTCAAATGCAGCTATTTTGTTATAAAAATACCAAGGTATTAACTTGACATTACTTTTACTATATTACTAAAATTATATTTCTACCCATGGATAAAATAGTACAGAAGTTTAAACTATAGAACTAAAATAATGTTTATCTAAGAAAATATGTTACAAATACAGAAATTTAATATTTAGTAGAAAAATCACTCAAAGGTAAAGCTAACACAAAAAACCGCTAATTGAAATTCAAAATACTTGAAGAATGATGATTTTTATAATTTTTGTGAATATATTTTTGTGTTTTTCAAAACATTTGCGAGGCTCCCTAAAGTTCACTTAAATTAATTGTTAGACCCAATAAAGAGCAAAAAGGGACAGTTGATACACCTTATTATCACAAGAGTCATTTTGTCCAAAATCAGGCCACCACCTCCTTTCAATCAAAATTTTAAATGGTAGTTTCTTGGAGGGCTTTCTACTCTCCACCACCTCATTTCAAGTTCTTGAAGATTCATGGGCAATATCAAAATTATTTCAAAGGAGTTATGCATGTGAAAGGGAATATCAATTTCAAGGTATTACCAGCCTGACTCTTCTCAATCCTTCAACGAATCAAATTAAATTAAACAACAGTTGAAGGCAACAACAACCTTATTATTTTTGTGTGATTGATGACATGTGGACTCATTGAGGTACTAGTGACATCTTGATAATATAGTCACCTAGGTTATTGAGGCACCTATGGTGTCTCTATATTAGGGAAGATCTAGGGCTATTAATCCTTAAGGTTTTTAGTGGATTGATCACAAGCTCGTAGAATTTAATAGAGTAAATGATTTTTGATCTTAAGAAAATCATGTGCATTTCAATATTATAATAGTGAACCGAGGTGAATTCCTCATAACATATGTCAAAATGTTTGGACAGAGTATCATAGAAACTTGTGTCCATCAATTATTCTTGATTTATTTTTTATTTACATATTAATTAAGAAATATATTTCAAATAATAATTTATAATACTAAAAGTAACTAAAAAATAATTTATTATAGTTAATTATAAGAAAAAGTTAGGAATTCACTCCCTCTCTTGATTCATCCATGTATGAATCACCAACAATATCACATTATTTATGTCATTGCAAACATTTAATGTATTGAGATATTTGACTTTACATATTGGCTTAAATCAAATCATAAATACATATGTTCTGCCACATATACTGTATTGTCAAAATTATTTCATGCATTAAAGTACTATGTTAATTATTTCATATACTTTTTTTGAGCTTGTAATTTACATATCATGATTTTCATGTTCTAAGATTTTAAGCTTTATATAATCTATAATTCTATAAATGTAACTCATTGTATATTGGCATTATAACCTTTATAGAGATTATTCTCATACTACCCATCTCATCACATACTAACATACTAATCACCCCACTGCTCCATAATGTAACTCATCATATAGTAACACATTACCATTGACATATTGTGTTGTAAGCTAAATGTTATATATTGAAATTATTTGCATCCTACTATTAAGGTTAGCCCTTATATTTTTTGCAACTTAAAATCTATGTATTTAAATATTGACTTTGATATACTTCGAATGTTCTGATGCATGGCATGTTGACAGTTTAGCATTGGTATACCAAGATATTCTACAAGGTAGCTCTCAGTATATTGATTTATTAATGTTGATATATTGTGCAATTATGTAACATCACACCTAATATAACAACATACGAATGCAATTTGATGCACCACCCGGGTTTGTTATTTGTATCACACACATTAATTTTCACGTAAAAAAATATATAATATCCATCCACTGTCAATGTATCCCTATTTAGTGTACCACAAGGGAATTTTTTATATTCGATAATTATTTAATATTTTAAAAATAATTTATTGGATTATTATTTAACATTTTATAAAAACGTGGGCTATCGTGCTGTTGTTGCATCGCGTATTTTAAAGTACTTATAGCCTATTTTTTCATGCCATTTATTATATATAAAAATGTGTCCTGTATTTCATTTAAAATTATGGAATTATTAGGCCGCTGCCGCAGTCCTTTTTATTTCCTTCGTCCCCCTCAAAACCTGCCTCTCTCGGTCTCTAGCTCTCCGCCGTCGTGGAGGCTGTCGAGGCTGCGGCAGCTCTGCACAATGCGTCACTACGAAGTGTACACGCTTACCAGGGCATCCAACTCGGGGGATGCTCCATGAAACCCTAGTCCTCCTCCTCCCTCTACAGCTCCTGATCCTGAACGCTCTCTCTCTCTCTCTCTCTCTCTCTCTTTAGCTCTCTTCCTCTCTCTCCTTTTTCTTCTCGGCCCATCTGTTTCCTGCGGCCGTGTTGTTCAAGGGTCCACTCTCTCTCCTTCTTCAAGGCGTCGGTCCGAAATCTCCTTGCTTGAGCGCCCGTCCGACCGGCTGCAGCCATCGTGGTTTTTTGGCCGGCGGGACTCCGCCGGACCTAGGTCGTCGGTCGGCCATTATTGGGATTCCTCACTAAAGGTATGCTCATTGACTGTGCTATTTCGTTCATGGCAGTGGACTGGAAACAATTGTATCAGGTTTGAAAAAATGAAACGTTGGAGAATTCTCATTCTGTAATTAGTGCAGACCTTGTAGAACATATGATGTCGATGAGCAAGCACAATTATCATGATTTATTATGATTACGAGCCGAATTTTCGCATTTTTTTATGCCGGAGTATGCAGGGTGTAATAATATAAGTTGCAGTAATGAATATGTGGAAACTGTGCAAGAGGATGAGAATTGGCTAATGGGGAACGTGGTTGGAGATTTGGTCGAAAAAATGGGACTTGATGTAAAATTCAGCAACAAAATTTCCTTTCGATGGAATTTTCTTACAAAGGATGATCTTACCGAAAGCATAAATTATCATAGTCTGCTCTGAAAAAAAAAACAATTCAATTTTCAAATCAAGTCTTCCAGAAGGAAAAGAAAAACTGGGTTGTGCAAAATGAGAGCAATATGGATGGATATTTCATGCATGGTTTACTAAAAAAGTGAAATCTTGGAATATCTTGGACATGATGGAAATCATACATTTTATGCCTCAATTTTCAGTCAAGATATCAGACATTTCTCATCATTCCTTATTGGTTGATTGGTTCTTCTCATATTTTGTTCAAGGTTAGATATAGCTCCAATGGGGATACATGAAAAGGTTGACGCAGAATACTGTGCTAGGATATCATAATGGAAGTCCTGAGATGCACGTTGAATGGAAATTATAAAAAGAAAGTGGAGTTGGAAAATTTCATAGCAATATATGGAGGCTGTAAATTGTTTATTTCCGGAATCAGATGCAGTTATGAGTAAAAAAATGACTGAAAATTGTAAATTTCTGTTTATTTAGGAAATTTAAAGTCCTCAATGGCAAGTACCATCCCTGTATGTGGATGGCAGCTAGTGTCAGTGCAACTGATGGTATACTTCGCTCCCATTCGAAAGTTTTGAGAAGGAGAATACAAACGTTTTGGACGTAGAGGTTTTCATTTAAGGTCGAAATATATTCCCATTTCCAAGCTTTTAGATGGATGCATTAAGTATGATTGGGCAGCATGAATCATTCAAGCTGTTTGGTCAGTATTTCCTTTTGCCGTGCACTAACCGTATTTAGTATTTTATTGCTATCTTTCCCAAGTTGTAGAAAACAATGTGCCAAACTCAGTTGAATCATGGGTAAGCTTTCATCAGTGGATGAAGATTTTCCATAACCATTACTGATAGTTTAAAATGTCCATTAGAAATTTTGTATTTTTAAATGCACATTAGGAGGAGGAGCTTGTGGATGCCCTCTTCAGCCATTAGTTTGTCTGACATACTATCAGACATTGCAAGAGAGTAAAATAGAGTGACATGAAAAGTATATAATCGCCATATTTTGAGGAACCTATTGGAGGATGCTTCTGTTAATGAAGTCATGTAGTAGGTCCTTTCACAGAGAGTTGACCTTTGAAAAGTGTGGCTTCACTTCAATACGAGAGGCACTAGTGGAATGATTAATCTAACTTTGGTGCAATGATCTATGTTTCGAAGTAACATACTGGACCAAAGGCATAACTCTCTCTTCTGGGATCCCTCAGGGGTTGGAATGTTTATGTTGGTCAGTTAGAAATTGAAGCATAGGTCTAGTCTTTAGGAGTGGACGAGATAAATTCCATCTCGCTCTGATGCCATTGTTCGTCATTTTGAAGCATGTTTCAACATACTTGGCCTATGAGTTTTGTTATTGTACACGTTGGCAAACGATTAAGATCAGGGGTGTAATAAATGTGGATGCCAGGATGAAATTGGGAACCCTAATCAACAAATGCCCTGGTCTCTGTAATTTGGTATCATCCAGTCAAATTGTGTTCTTGTTGCTTCCTAGAAAACGATCATCTGCAAGGATGCATTTGTCCTAAAGTTTATGAGACCCTCAAGGAACAGAAACATAGTTTAATCGATCCAACTTTGGCTACAAAACCACGTCAGGTGTTGAATCATTTTGGATTCGGAGTTGGTCAATTTTGAAAGCCATTGCTCGTTTTCTATTTGGTATGAAGTTTCGTTGCCAATATTTCCTTCGTGGTTATATAGTTATATCTAAAATCCCTGCTTCTCTCTTCTTTGGATTTGGGTAAAACAATTGTTCATGCAGTTATTTCCTCCTTGACTTCGGGAAGTCATATTAAATAGACCATACCTTGTTAGCAATTCGTTTGTTATTTTTCTCCTTGTTAATGTGCCTTTTATCTTATTTGATACTGATGGGATTTGCTGCTGATTTACCGATCTCTCTGTTACATTTTCAGGAAAAACATGCCCCGTAAAGGTAGTTATGGGCTTGATTACAGTGATGAGTACGATGCTTATGATGACTATGATGACTACTCCTATGATCATGAAGAGGGTTGGTGACTTCACCGTTTTTCCCAAGTGATGTAGCGCCTGATCCCTGCATTCATCCAAGACCTAGTTTTTTTCATCCATATTAATACTCCATGTTTCATCAATAACACCAGAATTATGTTTTTTGTCATTTAAAGTTCATTCACTTCACATATGTCTTTGAAAAACGGATTCACTGTCTTTTTCACTTGATAAATTTCTCACTTTTTTTCTAACCCCCCCTCTCACTGACAGATAAGCCATCTCAGGCAGCTCCGAGCCACACGAAGAAAAAGGCCGGGGTCTGGCGATGCCCGATCTGCACGTTTGATAATGATGAAAACTTACCCTTTTGTGAGATCTGTGGAGTTATTCGGGAAGCCAAGCTTGGCACCAGTGACAAAGAAAAGGGTACGCCTTTATTTTCATATCATTGATTCACTGTCACGTACTGCCATCAAATGAAACTTCTTCTGCTGTTCTGTTATATTCATTTCCTATGTTGACGTATAGGGTAGAGCTGTTTGATGCAGCTGATGGTGTGTGCGAAAAACCTGGAGCTTCACTTCTGGCAAAGTCCCTTTTCTCATCAAATCCCCGTGAGGGCTCGGAAGATAATGCTGAATCTTTGAGCATCAAGGAAAATAACTTCCATGGCAACACAAAATTTCAAGCACGTTTTGATGATCTGCAGAAAACCTTTTTGGCTCCCGACAGCAATGCCCATGTCAATATAGGTTTGCTACATCATATAGACGTGGTGCAGATATTGTTCTGACCAGTAGGTTTTGAGATTATTTTTATACGGTAGACTGTAGCTGATCTTTATATCTGTTGTGATCACAGCGGAATTTATTGAAATTATGTATAATAGAGGATGGGAGATTTTATTCCTCCCTGTTAATGCTAAGCGCCGTTGTCTTCTGATGAAAGATGATTCGAGTCCCGAAATAAAAAATTTGTAGATACCATCTCTCTTATTCTAGAAACCGTCTAACATGCTAATACTCCCATCTATGAGAAATAATTTAATTTTCGTTTTTCTCGTTTCATTGCATTAAATTTTATCAATGCAGTGTTTGCGCGGAGTTTTCTCTAAAGTTTCTCATGCATGGACAATCTTATCTGTTGAGTGATGACTATCCGGTTTGAATATTTGATTATATTTAATTACCTAGTATTTATTCTGGCGGTCAATCGACTTATTGTCAATTTTCTTTTTAAAAAAAATGGGCTTCTTCTTATCTACCATTTGATCGTTTTAATTTTACCTGCTTGTGACCAAGATATTTTATTTTTTGCCTGCAGCTCCTTTCAAGTTTGATAGTCCATCTCCAGATGATATTGTATTTTCAGGGAAGAAGGCATTGGAAATCACTCCAAAAGGTACTTTTTTTATGAGAATTATGCCAAAAACGCTCTCCATTCCTGCTCGCTGAGCTTGTCTATGCTTTTATTTCATTATTATTTCAATAATGATAGAGCTTTGGAATGATATTGATCTCAAATTCTCGTCTTTTTCATACCCTTCACCTTCAGGATGAGTTTTAAGATTTTTCTCATCTATTTTGTTGCCATATCATCATCATTTTCTGTTGAATTCTTGAGACATGTGAAAGGCCCTTGGAAACATCTGATCCAGCCAATTCATCCCGCTCCCCCATACGATTCTGGCCCAGGCAGTCTCAAGATCCCATTGCTTCCTTTTGATCTCGGGTTTTAGCCTTTTTTTTTTTAATGGCAATATATTGGAATGCTCCTAGCTTATTATTATCACCCAGTGGGCTTTTAAGGAAAGGTTTGACCAGATTTCAATCTGAATCCAATCTTCTGTCCTCAATTCTCACATTTGAAGAAATAATTATTTGTCTCTAAAATTCCAAGCGAAATCAAATTCCTGTGTAATGCTAGAACATGACAAATATTTTCAAACTCTCGGACCACTCCGTCAAACATCTAAGCCTGTAAGTGTCAAGGATCTGGGTAGAAAAACTGGAAGATTTAATTGGGTTGGCCTTATTTTTCTGGTTAGTGTTGTTCAATTGTTCATCATCGGTGAGGAATTTGGGTAGAAACAGGAAGCTTGAAGGGGGTTGACCTTCTTTTTCTGGTTAGTGTTGTTCAATTGTTCATCATTGGTAAGGAATTTGGGTAGAAACAGGAAGGTTTAAGGGGGTCGACCTTCTTTTTCTGCTTAGTGTTGTTCAATTGTTCATCATTGGTGAGGAATTTGGGTATTCAATTGTTCATCATCGGTGAGGAATTTGGGTAGAAACAGGAAGCTTTAAGGGGGGTTGACCTTCTTTTTCTGGTTAGTGTTGTTCAACTGTTCATCGTTGGTGAGGAATTTGCTCACTCGAATCTGTTGCTCGGCCGTGAAATCCCCTGTTTTCTCCCCCTCCCAACAGCAGAAGGTCAAACATCTGACAGAAAGTCAAATTTCTTTGGTGCCAGACAGAGCTCCGTCCACCGTTGCCAAGAGCAAGGAGGTGACAGAAGACATGGGAGCCGCTGAGAACTTGGAGAGACCACCGAGGCTGCCATCTAAAGATTCTCACCGCAACATCAGTGAAGGCGGTGCTGGCGGGTCAACGGGCCTGGCGAACAAGTTACAAGATTTCAGCCTCAGCCAAACATCTGAGTACAAGCCCGAGGAATGGATGCTGCCGGTAGAGGAGAAAGGGGCCCTCGCCCAGTTAAATCTCGCCATTGTGAGTCAACCCCCCGGGGGGCCACCGCCGCCGCCTTTGACTTTCATCCTCGGCACATACCCACCTGATTGGCTCTGTGGCCTTGCATGCAGGTGGGCCACGTTGACTCTGGAAAGTCAACTCTCTCAGGCAGGCTGCTCCACCAGCTGGGGCGCATATCCCGCAAGGAGATGCACAAGTACGAGAAAGAATCTAGAGAGAAGGTAATCCTCCCTCTCTCCCTCTCTCTTCTTCTTCTTCTTCTTCTTCATCCTCTTCTCTCTAGGGTTTCTTCTTCTTCCTCTTCTTCTCTCTAGGGTTTCTTCTGCTTCTTCCTGCGCAGGGAAAAGGGTCGTTTGCTTATGCATGGGCCATGGACGAGAGCTCGGAGGAGAGAGAGAGGGGGATCACCATGGCGGTGGCGGTGGCGTACTTCGACTGCAAGAGATATCACGTCGTTCTTCTGGACTCCCCGGGGCACCGGGACCTGGTTCCCAACCTCATCGCCGGCGGCGCCGCCCAAGCGGACGCCGCCGTGCTAGTGGTGGATTCCTCGGGCGGCAACTTCGAGGCGGGCATGGAGGGCGGGGGGCAGACCAGGGAGCACGCGCAACTCGTGAGGAGCTTCGGCGTTGACCAGATGATCGTGGCGGTCAACAAGATGGACTGCGTGGGGTACTCGGAGGAGCGGTTCCAGGGGTTGAAGAAACGGCTGGGGCTCTTCCTCCGATCCTGCGGGTTCAAGGAATCGAGTATCTCCTGGGTCCCCCTCAGCGCCATCGACAACCAGAACCTCATGGCCCCCGCTTCCGATCCTCGCCTCTCTCGCTGGTCAGCATCCGTACCCATTCTCTCTCTATCTCCATCCCTCCGTTTCTCTCTCTCTGCATTTCATCCATATCTACTCCCTCTCTCTCTCTCTACGTTGCAGTCAAATCCATTCTCTCTCTGCAAGACTCTCTCTCTACTGGTTTCTCTCTCTATCTCCATGTCTCCTCCATTTCTATCTCTCTGCATTGCATTCATATCCATTCCTTCTCTCTCTCTATCTCCATTTCTATCTCTCTGCATCATCCATATCCCTTCTGTCTGTCTCTCTCTATCTCGATCTCTCTCAACTGGTTTCTGTCTATCTACTTCTCTCTATCTCTCTACATTGCTGTCATACCCATTCTCTCTCTTTCTCTCTACTGGTTTTTCTCTATTCTATTTATCCCTCTACATTAAATTCATATCCATTCTCTCTCACTAGCCCTCCATTGATCTCTATCTCTATCTCTCTCTACATTGCAATTGTTTATCAGGTATGCTGGGCCATGTCTGCTGGAGGCGATAGACGCTCTACAGCCACCCGTGAGGGACGTCTCCAAGCCGCTGCGTCTGCCGGTATGTGACGTCATCAAATCTCGGTCTCAAGGAAACGTGTCGGCCAGCGGGAAGCTGGAGGCGGGTGCCATTCGAAATGGCACGAAGGTAGGGGCGCAGTCCGTTTCCCCAGTTGAGCCGTCCGATCGAGATCGGAGGGTTGTGGCGAGCTGATTTTTCCCTCTCTCTCTCTCGCTTACAGGTCCTGTTCATGCCCTCGGGGGACGTGGCCACAGTGCGCTCCATCGAGCGGGACTCGACGTCGTGCCACGTGGCGAGGGCGGGGGACAACGTGGCGGTCGTCCTCCAAGGCGTCGACACGGCGAGTGTGACACCGGGTGGCGTCCTTTGCCACCCGGACTTCCCCGTCCACGTGGCCGCCTCGCTGGAGCTGAAGATCCTCACCCTCGACGTGGCCACGCCGATCCTAGTTGGCTCCGAGGTGGACCCCACCCTCATCTTCATTTTCCTCCTGAATTTTAGGGTTTCCCTCTCTCTCTCTCCATCTCTCTCTCTCTCTCTCTCTCTCTCTCTCTCTCTCTATGTATATATCCTTTGTTCTGATTCCGAGTTGCAGGTTGAGTTCCACATACACCACGTGAGGGAGGCGGCGAGGGTGGCGAGGATCGTCTCCGTGGTGGATCCAAAGACCGGGAGAGCCTCCGGGAAGGCGGCGCGGTTCCTCTCGGCGAAGCAGAGCGCCGTGATCGAGGTAACCCCTGGTTTTATTGAGAGACGATTTTGGTTTTGGTTTTGGTTTTGATCGGATCGGTGGATGCATTGCTCTGCTGCGAGAGTGGAGATGATTATCGCAATGCAACTCCTCTTCGAGATTCTTGTGGTTGATCCGCTGATCCACACTCTCAGACATCTATCTAATTTCTTATTCCGGCTTCATCCGAACGGGGCGAATCCTTGATCTGTTGGAAGAAAAAACCCTAATCTCTTGTCCTGCAAGCATGCTTCCTTATCTGACGCCGATGATTCCTCCAACTTCTTCACATCTTCTTTAAGATTCGCTAAAAAATCAGAGAGAAAGCGATTCGCTCATCTGGAAATAGACGAGATCTCTCTCGTATCTTCCCACTGCGCATCCGAAATGTTTTCTCACTGGTCGGCTCTGATGCAGGTCGTCCTCGCAGGAGCAGTCTGTGTGGAAGAGTTCTCCAAGTGCCGTGCTCTTGGCAGGGTCTTCCTGCGTTCATCGGGTAGCACTGTGGCCGTCGGGATCGTCACCAAAGTCCTCCGGCAGTAGCCACATCCCAACCAACACCAGGAAGAAGAAGCTCCCTCCCTCCCTCTCTCTCTCTCTCTCTCGCTCTACACAGATGAATGTGGCTCAAAGGTCAGCTTTTGTTCGCAGTCGGATTTCGGATCCGTTTGGCAGCATCAGTTTGGAGACTTCCCCTAAGATCGATTTTGAAATGATTGACCAATTTCATCGAAAGTGCGCTTCTGTCCGTTCTGAGTGGGCCCCGCTAAGCCCGACCCTGTCTAAGCCTTTTGCAAGGCCGTTGATCGGAAAGTCAAACGAGTAGTCAAGATGACTAATCCATGGCGCCGAGATATTTTTTCTCCGTTCTGGTCCCCGCATCTCCACCTGGAAGTGGGCCCCACATAAATACGGAGGATATAAAGGGGGAGAGGGGGACCTGTGAGGATCGACGGAGAAGAAGATGGCGCCAATGGCAGCGAAGACCTTTCTCCTTCTCCAATCTCTTCCCTTCTTCTTCCTCTTCTTCTTCTTCTTCATAGCTCTTCGGTCGTCGTCGCCGGCGGCGGCGGTGGTGGCGGAGGGGGAGGATGGGGTTTCCGGCTACGGCTACAACCTCGGTGCGGTCAACGTCGACCCCTCCGGTGGCCTCCTGACGGCGGAACTCACCCTGATACGGAGCTCCGCTCTCTACGGCCCCGATCTCCGGGATCTCCGGCTCAAGGCGAGGTAAGTCCGACGCCTCCTGGATCTCCTCTCCCTGACGATCTCCTCCGGCGGCGGCGTCTCCCCGCTCTCAGACTCCTCCGCCGTTCCCGTTCGGAATCCTCCCTCCTCCGCCATTCAATTTTCTCGAGAGAGGAGGAGCAGGAGGAAGAGAAGAGGGAAGACAGAAGAAGCTCCGGAAGTACCTTGTGATGTGGTCCTCCGCCGCCGTCGGTGGCCGCCGTCCACTCCCCTCCGCCGTTCCTGATGGAATATAGCGTTTCGATAAAGAATACGTACGGATATCACTCATTTTTAGGCGAGGATATATATATATATATAGATATCGGATAATTCAGGATTAGATATTTTTCGATAAAGTCCATATATATATTAATTTTTTCTGAAATTTCCATTATATTTTTATATTAAACTTGAGTGTAGATATATCCACTTCCCCTCGTTTTTTGTTGCAGCTTTGAGACGAGAGATCGTCTGAGAATCCGGATTACAGACGCCCACCGCCGGAGATGGGAGGTGCCCGAGGAGGTCATCCCGCGACGGGCAGGCGGCGCGGCCCCCCTCCGCGCCTCCCTCTCCGACGGATACGGCGGCGCCGCCGGTGACCACGTCCTGACCGCGCCGGGCTCCGACTTCGTCGTCACCCTCAAAAAGGCGGCGGGGCCGCCACGGTTCGGGTTCGCTGTGTCCCGTCGCTCCACCGGCGATGTGGTCTTCGACACCACCGGCGCCGGCGCCGCCGCGCCGGGGCTCGTCTTCAAGGACCAGTACCTGGAGCTCTCGTCGTCGCTGCCTGAGGGGAGGTCGTCGCTGTACGGAATCGGGGAGCGCACCAGGAGGTCCTTCCGGCTAGATCAGAACGAGACGCTGACGATCTGGAACGCCGACATCGGCAGCTCCAACACGGACGTCAACCTGTACGGCGCCCACCCCTTCTACATGGACGTGAGGACCTCGCCGGCGCCGGGAACGACGCACGGCGTGCTGCTGCTGAACAGCAACGGGATGGACGTCTTCTACGGTGGCGCCGCCATCACATACAAGGTCATCGGCGGGGTGCTGGACCTGTATTTCTTCGCCGGGCCATCCCCCGTGGCGGTGATGGACCAGTACACCGAGCTCGTCGGCCGCCCGGCGGCGATGCCGCTCTGGTCCTTCGGTGAATGAGCTCTCTCCCCCTCTCCCCCCCTTCTCTTCCTCTTCCTTTGGCCGGCGGCTTTAATGGCAGACCTTTCTTCGTCCTCTTCTCTGACCTGCAGGGTTCCACCAGTGCCGGTACGGCTACAAGGACGTGGCGGATCTGGAGGCCGTCGTCGCCGGCTATGCCGCCGCCGGCATCCCCCTGGAGGTCATGTGGACGGACATCGACTACATGGACGGCTACAAGGACTTCACCCTTGACCCCAACAACTTCCCGGTGGAGAAGATGAAGTCCTTTGTCGGCCGCCTCCACCGCAAAGGTCAGAAGTACGTCATCATCTTGGACCCAGGTAAGGGAAGAAACAGCCCCCCTCCCTTCTCCCTTCTCCCTTCTTCTTCTTCTTCTTGTAGGGTTTCTTCCCCGGGCTAACCCTAACCTTAATCCTGGGGAGGATCTGCTTGCCAGGGATCAGCATCAATGAGACGTACGAGACCTATCGGAGGGGGCTGGAGGCGGGGATCTTCATCAAGCGCGGCGGCGACTGGTACCGTGGGGAGGTGTGGCCGGGGGCGGTGTTCTTCCCGGACTTCCTCCACCCGGCGGCGGCCAAGTTCTGGGCGGAGGAGATCGACATCTTCCACCGGACCCTCCCCTTCGACGGCCTCTGGATCGACATGAACGAGATCTCCAACTTCGTGACCGCCGACCCCGTCCCCAACTCCCTCCTCGACGACCCGCCGTACCGGATCAACAACTCCGGCGTCCGCCGCCCGATCAACAACAAGACGGTGCCGGCGACGGCGACCCACTTCGGGAACCTCACCGAGTACGACGTCCACAACCTCTACGGTCTCCTGCAGGCAAGGGCCACGAGGGACGCACTGGCAGCCCTCACCGGCCGGCGGCCCTTCGTGCTGTCGAGGTCCACCTTTGTGGGATCAGGTAAGTACGCCGCCCACTGGACCGGGGACAACGCCGCCACCTGGAACGACCTCGCCTACTCCATCCCCTCCGTCCTCAACTCCGGCCTCTTCGGGATCCCCATGGTCGGCGCCGACATCTGTGGCTTCTCCGGTAACACCACCGAGGAGCTCTGCAACCGCTGGATCCAGGTCATGCCTCCTCCTTCTCCTCCTCCTCCTCATCATCATCATCTTCTTCTAGGCTTTCTTCTCCTTCTTTTTCTAGGGTTTCTTCTGAGAAAGATAGAGATAGAAAGAGTTAATAGAAAAATGAACGAGAGAGAGAGAGAGAGAGGAATAATATTGAGAGAAGGTAACAGAGGAATAATATGTAGGAAAAAAATATTGAGAGAAGAAGGTAATACAAAGGAATAATAGAGCGGAGAATAATGGCCTTTTATGGTCTAAGATCCATTGATACTTGAGGTTAGAAGAGGCTTTGGGATTCTCCTTTTATAAGAGTTTCAGAGGCCTCTAGAATTATAAACAGATGCTAAATGGGGAAGGTTAGGTGTCCACTTAATGCGAAATGGTCAAGGAAAAACCTTCCGAGTGTCTCTCCCTTGAGAGGTGGTCCAGGATGTGACCATTTCTCAAGGGGAAGGTAGATGGTTTACATAGCCCCTCAAGCTCATGTGATCCACCATGTTAAGCATGTGTTTAAGTCATACAAAGCGACCATTAGAGAGCCCTTTGGTGACAACATCCACCAATTCATCTTTTTTAGACATAAACTATACTAGAAGCTGCTTTGATGCCACTTAATTACGAATAAACTTAAAACCAGTCTCAATATGCTTTGTTCATGTATGAAAGACCAGATTAATAGCAAGATAGGTGGCTCCAATATTATCATATCATGGAGTAGTTGGTGATGGAGTTGGAAAAATAAGCTGATGTAAGAGAGAATACAACCAAATTAATTCTGCTTTATATTATAATTCAATGCAAGATTTAGCTATAATAACTTGCTTCTCTGAGCTCCATGATATGAGATTACAACCAAGAAAAATAAGATAAAAACTAGTAGAGGATCAATCAGTAGAATAACCTGCCCAATGTACATCACTAAAGACACTAAGCTGAGGACTAGAAGATCTTTAAAGTAATAAATCATGCACAAGAGTGTATTTTTAGATATCATAAGATGTAGTTGACTGAAACTCAGTGCTCTTGTTAGGGTCATGCAGGAATGAAAAGCCCAATGTAAGTTATTCATCTTGGCTCTTAGATGTAGATTTGCAATATATTTTGATTGGGAAATAACATAGCCTGTAACTTTTGAACTCAATTATCAAGAAATAATATGTTGGGCCAAGGTCTTGAACTAAAAATTCAACATGTAGTGATTGGATAAGATTGTCAATGCCCCTTAGATTTGAGTACATGATAAGAATATCATCCACATATATTAGAATAAATAGTTGTGAATTGTTAATGTAACATTAAAATAAAGATGTATGTCTTAGAACCAAATAAATCAAGCTCTTGGAGTTGTGAACTAAATTGTATAAACCATACTCTAGGAGCCCAATGTAAACTATATAAAGATTTGTGAGGATGGCAAACATGATGCAGAAAGAGATGATACACAAAGCTTGATAGTTGATCCATAAAAATTATCTCATCAACATGACATCAAGAAAGACATTAGGCATGTCTAGCTGTCTTATAGGCCATGCAAGACTGATAGCAATAGCAAGAAAAAGATATATAGTAGAAATTTTGATGACTAAATTAAAGGTTTTATTAAAATCAAGAACTGATTATTGTCAAAATTCTTTAGCCACAAGTTATAGACTGATGTCTTATAAGTGGAAATATAGATTCAATGAAAACAGCATGTCAATAAATATGAAGCTGCTTAGTAGAAAGTGAGAAACAACAATAGCCTAGATGCATAAAACTATAGTCAAGAAAGACACAATGTTCGAATCATTGAGTAAGTTTGTATAACGTAGAAGGACAAAGGTTCAAATAGCAGACACACCCAAAAGTGTGGAGGAAAGAATAATCTGATTGTTTCTTGGAAAGACACCCAAATTGAGATATTGTTTTGAGAATAGATGTAGGTACTCGATTTATTAGGTAAGCATAAGTGGAAATGGTCTCATCTCAAAATTTATGCAACATAGATGTATTATAGAGACAAGCAAGAACAGTCTCAATGATGTAATGGTATCTACACTTTATTGTGTTATTTTTTTAAAGTATATGGGGACAAGATACATAATGTTGAATACCACATTATTTAAGAAGATGATAGAGTGATTGATATTCACCACCCCAATCAATTTTTAGGGCAAAAATTTGAGAGTAAATTAACATTTGACACAATTTTGGAATTAGAAGAATAAGTTCAGAACATCACTTTTATGCTTAAGTTGAAAGGACCTAGTATATTTGGTAAAGTTGTTGACAAAAATGATATAATAAAAGAATCATAATAAGATTGTACAAGAACATGCATCCATAGATCAGAATGACTAATTGTAGATGTGCTTGAGTTATAGAAAAAGATCATATAAATGGTAACTTGTGAATTTTTGATAAATAACAAGACTCACAAGAATATTGACTAGGACAATGGGAATAGACAAACTAAATTTATTGATGACATTATATATGATTCAAAAATATAGGTGTCATAGCCTAGCATGCCATATTAGAGGAGAGACTCATTTTACCAAGATATGCAACAAGTGCATTGTTAGATGGAGGAAAGTATTAGAAGTTTTCTTTAAGATGTCCCAATAGGACTTTTCTCAAGATATAATTCTTCACAAGACAATAAGATTAGGGAAATTTGACAAAGATATTATTATTTGATGCAAGTCTTTGAACTGAAAGTAAATTACAAGTGATATTAGGGTCATGGAAATTATAAGATTAGGAAAACCTGTGTAGATTATTAGGTCAATAAGTGTATTATAGTCTAGAGTGATGCAATAAGTAGCCCTATTATCTAGATACCATGATGTTGAGGTGCCTATTAATAGTCCTCTAGATAGTGTTGGTGGAGTGCCATATGTAGTTGCATAGACAACTAGAATATGCTGAACATTTGATGGTTGGTTCTGCCATTAATATTGTTGTTGCCCATTCATGAGACCTCCTAAAAAATTCTTATTGAAATGTGCTCCATGTTATGAGTCACGATGTCTAAATTGAAGATAAATTTGACAATGTAATCATTGTCTGCCACGACCACATCTAAAGCCTCCATCACGGCCACACCCTCTACTAGCATGTTAACTTTTATTGGCAAAATTAGTTGATGAATATTCAAGAGCACCATGGGAAGAATAATATTGTGCCATGATTGTCTCATGTGTAGTTAGATGTGCAAGAACATTCTCTAGAGCAAGTGACTCCATATGAGTAGTCACATTGGAAATAAAGTTTCATAATTTAGTCCCAATCCTCTAAGAATCATTATATAATCTCTTGATCATCTACAAGTTGACCAATTGCAGTGAGTTCATCTACAATGATCTTGATAGATTTGACATATTCTTTAATAGAAGATGTCCCACATTATGAAGCATGTTCTAGCTAGAGCATCCTAGACCTCCTTAGAAGTGCTGTAACCAACTATTAATGAAAAAATAATCTCCACAAGAGAGGATAAAATCTTTGATCATTTCATTCCTATGTAAGAAAATCTAGATTCAGTTATGAGACCCTCTATTCATCAACCATAGTTATTGTCAGAGGTGGAGCAGAATCATCAACCATAGACATAAATAAACTGAACGAATCTTACACAATAAGTAATCTCGAGATAACTTTTGTAAAAGTAAGGGCATGACATTTGATGGTGCCACCATTGGTTCAGATGCTGTTGAGAAACTTGGCTCTGATACAATGAGAAAGATGGAGATAGAAAAAGGAATGAGAGAGAGAGAGAAAGAGAGAGAGATGAGTCATATTGAGAGAATAATGCAATGGAGAGAGAATTGAGTGGAGAAAATAATGGCCTTCTAGGATGTTACAAGAGGTTATGGGGTTCTCCCCTACTGATCCCCATCTCCCGCAGTTCATGATGTGACCATTCCTCGAGGGAAAGTTGGATCGTTTACATCTTCTCTTCTCCTTGTACGGTTTCTTATTCTTCTTCTTCTTCTTCTTCTTCTAGGGTTTCTTCTTCATCATCATCTTCCTCCTCCCCCATCATGGTCTGGTGTGCAGCTGGGGGCCTTCTACCCGTTTGCGAGGGACCACTCCGACAAGAACACCCTCCGGCAGGAGCTGTACCTCTGGGACACGGTGGCCACCTCCGCGAGGAAGGCCCTCGGTCTCCGCTACCGTCTCCTCCCCTACATCTACACCGCCATGTTCCATGCCCACACCAAGGGCACCCCCATCGCCCGCCCTCTCTTCTTCTCCTTCCCCTCAGACCCCAACACCCACTCCATCTCCACCCAGTTCCTCCTCGGTCCCGCCATTATAGTCTCCCCTGCTCTCCTCCCCGGCGCCACCGCCGTTGATGCCTACTTCCCCGCTGGCACCTGGTTCGACCTCTTCAACTACTCCCAGAACGGTGGTGCCGCCGTCGTCTCCGCCGCGGGGCACCGGGTGAGGCTCCCTGCGCCACTGGACTCCATCAACGTTCACCTCCGGGGGGGCACCGTGGTGCCCCTGCAGAGGGAGGGGAAGACTACCGAGGCCGTTCGGCGGAGTGGGTTTGAGCTCCTGGTGGCGCTGGACGAGGCCGGCGGCGCCGCCGGGGAGCTGTTCGCGGACGACGGGGAAGAGCTGGAGATAGGCCAACCCGGCGGTGGTTGGACGGCGGTGAGGTTCACCGGCGACGGCGGCGGTGGGGGGCTGGGGTTGAGCTCAGAGGTGGCGCAAGGTTCGTACGCCTCAAAGGAGAAGCTGGTAGTGGACAAGGTGACGTTCGTCGGCCACAAGCTGGACCCCGAGCGCCGCCACTGTGTGCTGCTCGTCAACGGGAGGAAGGTCGCCGGCGGCAGGAAGAAGGTCGACGTGAGATTCGCCGGTGGCGTGGTGGAGGTGCGGGGACTGGAGCTACCCCTCGGGGAGGCCTTCGAGATTCGCCTTCAATTCCTGCGGGAAGACCCAGCCGTACTGTTGTGAGAAGATCCATCCATCCATCAATCCGCGGCCGAGATCTGCGTGATTGGCCCTCTTTACATGAATAAATAAATAAATGAGGCCTTTGCCTCCGCCCACTTCATATATATATATGCATCCATCCACGGCCGAGATCAGTATCTATTACCACTTTAACGTGCATTGTTTCAGTTAATAGTAATTTCAACTCCACGAGTTTTCTTGAAATGAAGTTTTCGGTGGCTCTGCAATCTATTAAGACCGTCACTTCTCTAGACCTTGTTATTCCCTCAAGTTTCATCTTACCTCATTGTGTCAATATGATAATTGAGTTATGGGACAAAATGCTCTAGAACCTAATAGAGTTCTTCTATCATCTCCCCTTATAGCATTGTCATGTATTAATAAGATTTGCATCTCCCTTTTACAAACATTTCCTAAGTCATATTTTTCATCACAAGAGAAGGATAACCCTTACGTTATTAATACTTTAATTTCTGCATATGTCAAGATTATGTATTTTGTCTCCTTTGCTTGAGTTGTTAGAGTTGGTAATTTGTTGGCGTGAGTTTGGAATCTCAATCTTGTGCCTTTATTTAGATGTGTGTATCTGTTTTTTTTCCATTAAGAGGTCTTATTCTGCATTGGATCTAGGTTTTTGACTCCCCCACATTCTAAGAACGTATTAGACCATCTTTAGAGGTTGAGTTTGAATTTTTTTCTAGAATCCTAGATCCATGGTGCCTAGAATAGTGTTGTTCTTCTATTCAGCTAATATATATTTTTTTCTAAAATTGAATTTAAATTGATCAGTTTCAAATTGTTGATCAGTGCTTTAACATTTGGCTTCAATTATTTGATAAATATGCTCTCCAAGACCTCTTCTTGTAGTCCTTTCACTGATGTTGACATGCCTTTTAAATCTCCCTTGTATTTTACAACAAAACCATGATGTTAGATAACTATAAAACTCTTGCACAAAATACTTGCATGTGATAAATTGAATTATTTAAACATTTGTTCCTTATGATAAGTGTTTTTGGCATTTATCTATTGAAACCAAGTAAATGCCCCCAACGTCATCAACTTCTCCACCTTTTTCATCCAATTCATCAAAAAGAATAGTTCTACATAGAAAATCCAATCAACCAGATTTCTTCAACTGAAATCTATGGTTATAGTCAATCCTTCCATGTCTTGATGCAGTCATTTTGTCTAACCCTTGTCAACAATTTCTAGATATGCCATGTTCTTGGACATTTGTGTTGCTCCTTCTTCGTCCCAAACCATCCTTAGAGAATATTGTATTTGATTCATTTACTTCCTTAAAAAGTTGACACTTGGCTTAGTTTATCCCTTGTAGATCTTCTAATGTTTGGAAATTTTGAGTTGACACCTAGCTTAATTCTAACTCCATTTTAATCTTTAGTGGTCTCCACAATCTTATATTTACTCCTATTTACTTTTCCAAGTGATTAAACCTTATCTATGTGGTCTTTTGTGCCATCAAAACCTAGTTTTGATACCAAATTCATGAGAAACCAGGTTGCACACCCAAAAAAACAACAACAATGGGCCTCTAGTATTAACTGAAGAATAGGCTAAAGGGAATGCCTCTCCCACCAAGTGAATGTCTTATATACCCCTCCTCTCATTGCTCATGAACCTTAAAAATTGGGGGTCATCTTGAGTACTTCATGAGATTTAACATGATTATCCCCCCAACAATGGTTGCCACATGCCCTGCCATGCCTCTTACCTCTCCCCCCCCCCTCCAAACCCCCCCCTTCTAGGAAGAAGATAATTTTATTAGAGGCCTATGTATAAATGGTTGGATATCCAAGCTACAAATTACAATCTTGGTATTAATTCAGCTAATTTCCTATTTAAGATGAGGACTTTATATAGGATGTTTTCTTGGACATTACTTTTATATAACATTGAAATAATTAATAAAAATAGAATAATCATATATCATATTTTCAAGCAATGAGTCTCTTTCTCCCACGTGTAAGACCACTCCTTGCTTTACAGTCGACTAACCACCGATGACGTGGAAGGAGAGTGGTGCACACCCCATTGGTCCATAGTTGCTCGAGCTCTTGCTTGCGGCTCCCCCCAACTACACTTCTGACCCGCTTGTGGGCTTGGTTGACCAGTGGGTCTCCCCCTTTTTCTTTTATATTTTATTATTATTATTATTTATGTAAAAAATAAGACTATAAAAATCATATAAATTCGTATAAAATCACATAATTAGCCAAAATTTCACATTAATCAACTGAAAACCACTTCTCACAATTTAACATAAAGATAAGTCTATTTATCATGATTTAAGGCTAAAACTATATTATTTATTAATTATTAACTCATGATAATGAAGACTTATCATTGCTCAAGGGAAAACTTTCCAAGTTTGTCTTCTCCACCATGTTAACTATGGGCTCAAACAAAGTCCTCATTCCTAATTTGTTAAGTTCAACAGTCTTCTCACATTTTAAGACTTTACCTCTTGCAAGATTGATCCGACAATGATGTGCAAGATCACATATGTAGGCTTCATGGTACTTATCATATATTTGGATGACATTCTCTTGACCAATAGTGATGAGGCTAATATCTCTACTACTAAAACTTATCTTTAGATGCACTTTGTGATGCATGACTTATAGTCATTGTGTTATTTCCTTGAGATTGAGTTTGCTTATCAATCAAATATGTTAGCATTATCTCAGAGAAAGTATACATTAGATCTTCTCTAAGAAATAAGGTTACTTGGGTGTAAACCAACTACATCACCCTTAGAGGCACAACCCAAATTCTGGGACACTGACTCACCCACCTATGATGGCAAATGATAACCGCTATTGGCATCTATTGGGGAAGTTGATCTATTTGACAGTTACTTGTCTGGATATTACTTATGATGTTAGTGTTCTTAATCAATTCATGTAGGAACCTCTGATGGTGCACTAGGAGAGGGTATTATGAGTTCTCACATATGTTAAGCGTGCCCTTAACAAAGTCTTATCTATCAACATCATGATCATCTTCATATTGAGGCCTATTCTGATGTTAAATATGTTTGAGACAAAGCAAACCGAAAATCAACTATGAGGTATGATAAGTCTTCATTGTCATGAGTTAATAATTAATAAATAATATATTTATAGCCTTAAATCATGATAAATAGACTTATATTTTTGATAAATTGTGAAAACTAGTTTTCTTTAGTTAATGTGAATTTTTAGCTAATTATGTGATTTTATGTGAATTTATATAAATTTTATAATCTTATTTTTGAGATAAATGAAGAAAAAAAAAAGATAGAAAAATGAGGGGACTCACCGGCTAGCACAAGTAGGTTGGAAGCATAGTTAGGGCGGAGCCACGAGCAAGGGCTCAAGTGGCTATAGACCGATGGGGGCATGTGTGCATCACTCCCTTTCCACATCATCGGTGGCCAACCGGGTGTGGGGCAAGGAATGATTGTACACATGCGAGAAAGAGACTCATTGATTCTCAAATCTTGTATTACTATATATTCATCCAAAAATTTGACATATAATCGATGTAGGACTAAACTCACACATCTTCCTCGGAATGTTTTCGATGATTTTAATACCAAAAATATCCCTTATTTATAACAACGAAATACTATGATGACGTCACTTTATAAAGGTATTCGATAACTTATTTTCCTCTCTCTCATACATGAGGGCGATCGGTGCGGGTTCGAATCTTAACAAAGTCAAAACTCATAGTTTTATTTAATTAAATCATAATTTTCCTATATATTGTTGGTGAAGGATTAAGCCACTAGAATTGCTCAATCATCAGCAAAAATCTCGTCAACATGTTTCGCAGAGCCTCGTTACTAAAATTACTGAATAATTCGCGATAAAAGGATCACAAATTTATCGAGTAAATTATCTCTAATTGATCAATTAACGAGCCGTCATCGAGAAGAGGACAATCCGTTGAGAGACGAGTTGCCACCTCCTAAGAGTGTACTAGATGCGTTGAAGAGTCTCCTCTTGCTATGTAGATCTAAGTATGAAACTCTCTAACATGTGCCCCCACCTCCATCTAACTCCTCTTCGTTAGGTGACATCCGTCGAAGAGCCATAAAAGTCATTATTTTTCCGCTCTGTCAAGTGACAGTCACCGGATGTGATTCAACGACCCATTTCATTTATCTCTAGACTTCGCAAGAAGATCTAGAGATTGCCCACGTCGTCCTTGCCCAATGAGAGACTTCGAGGCCATGGACACTACACGACAATCCTCCCGAACATTCAAGATTCTGGTGTATCACTGACGCATCGCCGTCGCGATGTCAAAACTTTATTTTATCATTTTTTAACTAGTTTAACTTCCACCATCATTTTTTAGACTTCAAAAGGAGATTTAGCAAATGCCCAGGTCGTTCATGTTCAAAGAGAGCTTTTGAGGTTGTGGACATCATTCAGTGATCCTTCCAAACATATAGAATTCAGGCGATCGATGCGTGAGGCCAGAACTCTGTATTTCCTATTATCAACTTAATTTTTACTTCATTTAGTGATAATTTGTGTGATTTCTACTTTCTAAACTATTATTCATTCAATTATGATTTTTCTGACTTTTACATATCTTAATTTGACCAATTAAATTGTCTGTAATTACTTATGTAAGAATCACCAGGTAAGAAAAGGTGTTCACTTGAACTTTTCTTATCTCAAAGCTAACCTAGTGTCATCGCTCCTTCTTTCCGCCAAGAAGAAGTGTTCACTCGAAATAGCGGGAGAGACCTCATTCAGGCAAGATGAAGAGCACTCTAGATTGACACACCTGCATTTACATATTGTGGAACTCAAAAACCCTAAACCCTCTAGGCTGGCTCAATTGCCAAAGGTTTTCTTAATCAAAAAGTTATCCATGACATGAGTTTTTTCCAAATGTATAGGGTGGTCCTCCCATCTCTCTCCTCTCTCACTCACCTTTTGCTCACATGAGAAAAACTTCCCAAAGGTTTTGGTGGC